TAATAAGTCGATTAACGTATAAGTAATATTTTAATGCGTTTCAGGTTTAAAATTAAAAAAGAGTTGTCACCCAAATATTTTTTGATTTCCTATGAAAACATAAACGGTCTGCATGTTGTGGTGCCTTCTTTGGTACCGATTTCTATCTAGATTACAAGGGTTTTAGCAACTTAATTTGGGATTATTTATGATTCACGTCTTTTAGTGTACAATCCTATTTTTTCTTGTTTTTTTTTTATTGATTCCATTTTTTTTTATTAGAATACAAAACAAGATTGATTGAACATACGTGTCTCAGATATTCTACTCCGATGTCATTTCAAAAATCACTTCACTTATGCCATGAAACGTTATTACCAATTCAATGTTGAGCGAATGCCGCTTTATGAAGTAAATTTGGACACCTGAGTGAATTCGAATTCCGGATTGGATTTATACGGGGCTGAGCAATGACCGATTTCACATAGCTACATTGTGTCTAATATTTATTTATATATTTCTATTAATTAGGTCTGGTAGTGATTTAATCAATAAGGATTATTAAATGACATTCAACAATGACAACCAGACAATAAATTCGAATCGAACGTGTTTATTGATTTAGAGTTGCCAGGCGTCCGGATAAAGCTGGACATGGTTAGGCTTTTTCATTGCGTGTCCGGCCAAAATGAACAGTGAATCAAAGTACTTTGTCTGATGTTGCATCCATTTTTTTTATATTTCATTAGAATTTAAGACCATTTATGTTAAATAATCCTAAAAATCTTGGTTTTTACACTTATATTATATTTTTACCCAAATGTCCGGTCAAACAAGTAGCTCTGTCCGGTTATTAGGTTTAGCGATCTGGTGACCCTATATAAATAACATATCTAATGAAACATCTAACCTAACACCATATTTCAAGTTATAGTGTTAATAAAACCTCCTTTTGAAGTCCTTTATTTCCAATATCAGTTGTATATTCGCTATTTTTATAAATTATATTTTTTGACGAAATGATGTTCTTTATCCGATGGCCATCGTCAGAATCACCGTCCGTTTTTACTTTATTATTATATTCCCTCCTATCGTCACCTTTCTTTCTTTATTTTTTTTTAAATATTTAATGTCATCCGATAGTTTGTCATAATGCCAAGATTTAAAAAAATATGAAATAGCTAACAATAGTATTAATAAAATATAAATAACAAAAACTCACACTTAAAATTATACAAATAAAAATACCCTTCAATATTGAAGTAGTCTATACTAATATTATTAAGTACTTTGGAAATACTGATCTACCCTGTGATTCTTTGAAAATCCAAGCCTGAATTCGAATACACTCAGGTGTCCGAATACACGTCATTTAGTATAGTATAATTCTATTGATATCAATTTTTCTCTCCTCCCTCTCCGTGAATGGAATCAAGTAGAAAGCACCACGCGTGGATTCCCAGTGCGGATTTATTTGTTTGTGTGCAACAATAGTAGCAAAACCTATCCAAGTACCCATCCAGGTATAGTACATACAGATAGATAATTAGTTACTTCAATCATTTGCGGCACACAACTACATTACAATTTAAAAAACATAAAAGAAAATAAAATAAGTAACAAGGGAAATCATGTATGTAGCAGATTGACAAACTCTTCCTAACTCTGTATGTTCGTTTTATAGAGAGTTATCTTTGGAAATACTGAGCAGCCCTGCGATTTTGTAAAAGTACAAACCCGAATTCGAATTGAAAATTCATACATAGATATAGTGTCATGAAAATACATATATAGTGACATAGGTCTTAATATACGCAGGCAAATTCAAGGGCAAAAAAAAAAAGTGAGGGAATAACACAAGGATGTTAGATTATTTCGCATCAGCGCGGCATGACCGCCCCAAAGCTTCCCTTCTAGCCCTTCTAGCATGTTATATGGCGACGGTAAACAATCGTCCTCTTGTATAGGTATGTAGGTACAGTACTTGCCAAAACATTAATCAAATAGCTGAAGCAGTTATTCACAATATTCTTTCAAGTGTACCTACACGTTGCGTAATGTAACTGTTTGCGAGTTTGCCAAAACAGTTTTTATTGTAATTCCGTTGCTACGCCGGCCATTACTCAGAAAGTAGGTTTTCGACTGTTTTCATAAGTACAATATAAATGTTTTCATTCAAATGAATGAAAACGCATGGACACAGACATGGGATGAAGAAAAAAAGAATCAATAAATAAGACGTAGGTAGGCCCAGAAGGTAACGCAAAATTAAATAGCGTTGAATTTTTAAGATGTTTTATTTAACATTTATTTTTATTTCGAGAAAACATTCATAAATGTTTTATTGTAAATGTGTTTGTTATGAAACATATGCATATTTCTAGCTTGTCGCCAGCGGCGGAACACGACGACTTAACAGTGCAGTACCAAGAGAACCGTTTAGTGGGATAACAAGTGGCCTTTATGTTACTTGAGGCTTTAAAATTATCAAAAACCATTCAGTAGTTTGAATTTCTTCGTAAAAGAGTAATAAATTATTATTTTAATAGGATAGGATGATATAATTTTCCCAATATATTCGGACTTCATCTTTTTCGTCTATAAGCAAATTGCTATAATGTTTCGTTAAATAATACACAACAATGATTGTTTCCGACGCGACGACGCGTAAACTCTCTTGATTCATATTCTTAACTTTATTTCGCTTTGCTAGATGATGATTTACAAAATTATCTACATACATTACACTTCGATCAGAGTGAATCAGACGAGGAATCCTGTTTACAGCATCCGAGGAAATCTAAAGCTTTGCCAAGTGGGTTATCACTGACCAGACTGAATGCATAGAATATAGATTAAATTGTATGTAGATCTACACAGAATATCAAAACCATAGAAAATAATAATAACCTATAAGTTTAGCAAAAAGATACAAACATTAATGGCGATGAATATATTAGCATGAGACTTTTCTACAAGCCGTCGTCGCCTATACACGAACTCGTTTTTAAGGAAGGTATTGGTATAATTTATAGATTATGTTTATGATTATGAATGGATGAAGATGGAAATGATTATAATATGGATAGCACTAATAGGTAAAGGCTCCATCCGTGGGTATAGAAAATAGGAGGACCCGTTCTCCCAGTAACAAAAAATAACATGAATAAATAGGTATAGAGAGAACTTTAACATTATTTTGCTATATTGATGTTTAATGAAAAATTATTATAATAATAATTCTTCATTCATGCCAAAAATAATATAAAAAAAAATTATTTAAAACTCATTAAACCAAGGATATCTATAAAAACTATTGACCAAATTACAGATACATGTTGGATTGTAATCGGCACAGTAGTTTCAGTTACTTTATGATTTTCATCGTGACATAATGTCGTTTATGATTCATAGAAATAAATAATTTTCTTAATAGAAATTATTTATTTCTATGAATCATAAACGACATTGAGAAGTACTTCTATTGGTTACATATAAGGTGTATATTATTGTATGCCAGGATTTCGTGGGGTGGATTAGTTAAGTATACTGAATAACATTTACTATGGCAGCAAGAAGCAACACTGAATTCAAGGAAAATAATCAGCTGTTTTGATACAAAATTGTAATACCTACAGCCGTTGACAATACACCACCACGAAATCCTGGCATATAATAATCATGCACCTTATATATTTAAGAAAAGGTTACTTGATGAGATGGAGTAATATATAGCTCTGTAAGACAATTTGGGTAGGCTATTGTGAGTGTAAACGTAGGAAGGAAGGAACCCAGCAAGGATGGAAATCTATGACTAAAGGTTTTTAGAAAAAATCGACACTAATCCGCCTGTTCCGGGATTTGGGAAAGTCTATTTGATATTTGAAGAAATTGAAAAAAAAGTATTCTGTCTGAGAACTTACACGATGGAAATAAGGTCTGTGACGTCGGTAGTTTATAAATGTTATAGGCAAATATTATTTCGAACGCACGAAACAATAGTAAATGCACATCTAAAATAACTGATTGCACAACAAAATGCGTGGTTTGAAGCTTATTATTGAAATTGGTATTTCTACTGGTTAGATTTATGATTTTCTTTTAAAAGTTCTCAATAAAAGCATAGTAATGCAAAAAAAAAAATACGAAAAGTAATTGAAATCTTATATTGAAGTGCCATTTATTTAGAAGATTATTTTACACCATTATGATAGAACTCTGATTTAAACTATGAAAACATTTTGGAACGGCTTCCTGGTAGTTCTTTTGATGTGCAAATTATTGTTCAAATCACGAATAAATGGTAATCGATGAGGGCAAGGTCCAGTTAGTGACAGTCTTGAAAAACTTAGAACTATTTAGTGGGCAGTGTGAGCACATTTAGTGACATTTAAAGAGATAATTTTGCAAGAATAAATACAGTAGTAAACTTGATTACTTGAAACTTGATTCTGCGATAAAATTTAGGAGGTCCAAAAAAGTTAGAATGCGAATAGCATACTTATAAATATGCCTTACTTCTCATATGAACGGCGAACTTGATTAAAAGTTAAAGAGTTTCAATTCCATGCTTCAGCAGTACATGGATATTTCCGTTACCAGTAATAGGTTTTCTAAGTTTTTTGTGTGTCTTTAGTGTCAATCAATCAAAGTTTCATTTGTTTGTTTATTAACTAAATGTATACACATGAATACAATATATACTGTGCTTCGTATTCATAGTTTAAAATTAGGTTATTTCAACTATTATCGTCAGGTTTATGCTTCCTTTACAGAGATTAATGTTGTTCTTGAACTAGTTTTATATTTTATCTGACCTATAAATTTGTAAATCAATACAGTTGTTAATTTCAAATGAGTAGAGTTGAAGAATAATGTTTGTTAGTGATCTTATCTTATGGTTTATATTCGGTTGGATATTTTGGACAGCTGAATGTCTGTCGTTGATGCTACAGGAAGTGGAAGCATATTTTAAAATTAAATGAAACAGTTTCAAAGGAATAAATTTTGTAAATGCTCACCTCCTCGACGGACTTCTTGGAGAACTCGTTCATGGACACAATCCATTGCTGCACTAGTTCATTCACAATAACAAGGTCATTATATAACCACGTCAATAGTTCGTTAACCCACTGCACGCTGGGCTGGTCTGGGCCCGTGCATGTGGGCACAATGATACTTTGGTGTTTTTTCAAAGTTAACTGGTCAGGGCCGGGAGACATGCGGCCGATGCGTTTCTTATTAGGCGGCGTCGCGGGCACAAACCCACTCGGCTTCGGCTTGATGGCGGTGAATGAGTTGGCCTTAACTTTAGCACTGGTCGCGAGCACTGTGTCGGCACTGTTAATGATTTCGTTCGCTGTGGATTTTTTCGGTTCATCGTTCGTTTTTACAGTCTTCGTTTCGACCTCCGCGGTCTTTATCACGTACTTCCCGTACGCCCATTTAGCGATGCCGAGAAGCACTATGGAGAAGAGCATCCAAACGAATATAAGCATGACTAGATTGTCCATAGCTGTGTCCATATAATCGAAACTGCATATGAAGTCGTCAACGGCTTCCGCTAAATCGGCCATAGTTTTCCATGGTGTGCGCCACCATCGGGCAGCGTTCCCGTCCGCCGCCTCTCCGGATACTGAAGACGAGCTCGACATTTTTTCTCTATTTTCGAACGCACTATTTTCGGAGCGCAGCTCTGTCTCTTTCCCGCTGTAAGGCCGTGCAGCGTTTAAGTTTTATTTGAAAATTAAATTAATTAGAATTAAAAAGAATATAGTAGCGTTTATTTTAGACCGTTTTAATATCACCGTATGAGTTAGGAAATGAACACATTATTTGTCTGTCAGATTGTTACTTAATTTTTAATTTTTATTCGTTCGTTCGTATTCGGTTGCGGTTTCGTTGTGTAAACATTGGTTTTTCATGTGATGTTGGTCCTTCAGAGGCATCGTGTTGCTGATTCCTAGAACAAAATATAAGTATTATTAATTCTAAGAATATCAAAAGAATTTATGGTCGAGTGATTCGGGTGTACCACTATCTCTGAAGTTCCCAGTTCGATTCCCAATTCGGTGAGTGGAAAACGAACTTTTTTGGATACTTGAATAATGAAGTTATTTCTAAACAAAAATAATAATCAAAAACATGGTAAAGCAATCGGCTAAATATTCATATATAAACTGACACTAGATTTGTCTAAGATAAACTAATATTAAGTTATGGAATTCGCCAAAAAATTTGAGTTCCTACTATAGCCAGCATATGATGTCATATCAAATAATTTATTTATTTCAAGAAAAAAAAATCCACAGCAACTTCTTATCTTAATTATAGTAGAACAATTTTAACATTTAATTATTTAATTACATAAAACAAAATTAAAATTAATTGCGCGAACTGTATGTGTGTGTTTCGTCTATGATTTTTAAAAGATTAAATTTAAAATATTTTTAATAGATGCTCTACTATTACAGGCAAATATATCAACTGGGGCAAAACGTTTACTGTAAGTTCTCTGTAATCGATATATAATTGAGTTTTGTGCATAGTTTGTGTGACATAGAGGAACTGCGAAATATAAAGAACCAGTGTGTCTAGTACGGATTAAATAAATAAATAAATATTTTACAACATCACATACATGGCTCAGATTCCAAGATGAGTAGCTAAAGCCCCCGTATTACGGAGTATCTGAGACAACGAAGGTGCCACAACACCCAGACCCGAGTCAATATAGAAAAGTTCATTTTCTACATTGACCCGACCGGGAATCGAACCCGGGACCTCAGATATGGCGACACCTTGAAACCGGCGTGTGAACCACTCGGCCACGGAGGTCGTGGGTGTGCTCTGGGTGAGCGTTAAAAATCATATACATATATTAGATATATGATTTTGAGAACTATAACATTAATATCCCATCAAAAACAACATGCACAATTCTCACAACGCAATTCTTCTGCCGCGAAACATTATGAAATCAACGTAAACCAAGTCGATTAATTCAGTACCTATCTTTCTGTGAGAGCAGAAGAATTGAGTTGTGAGACTTGTGCATTTTTGTATGTACATGTTATGTTTTTGATGGGATCTCATTTCTTATTGTAGATAGTTCTTGTTTTTCCTTTTCGAGCATCTACAATAAGTTTATTATATTCAGAACTAGTTGACATTCATTAGATATAAACAGTTTAGGTATATTGTTCTCAAAAGTGTCACATATGCTTGACCGCATGTATGTACTGAAGAATTATCTAATTCCTTGTCTCTTATGCATCAATCATTGTACCTATGAATATGCTAACGAAGCCCATTTGATTCCGTTTGTTGACCGTTCTAAGTCCATTCTGTACGTTACATAGGTTTATTTAACTTTATGCATAATTATGTCCAATTGTAATTTTAAATAGTTTTTTCGAAGTTTTTCCTATGGTAATAGTTTCCTTACAATAGATTTAATTATGCGTATTATTTACTATTTGACATATGTTTGTATATATCTGCGTTTGTTTATGTTTTGTATATTAAAATAATGATTTTATCACGTAGCCTTAATATTCTCTTTGGTTTGTGTTTACTAAGCAACACATTAACGGATGTTATCAACATGCTTTACAGTTATAAAAAAAAGCGGGACAAATATTTCATAATGTTAGATTTTTTCCTTACTTAATACCTATGCTTAATAATAACAGTGTTCAAAATTTGGAGCATGTGGATCTGCTAGAAGTACCTTGGAATATTGATGATCTATGAGTCGGTCAGTGACTAAATTAAAGTATTTTATTAGCAATAATTTTTGCAGTAATCGAAAAATTGAATGTAATTTGGTAATGTGCCTCGTTATGTGATGCTCTCTTGGTCACTGAAAATTTAGGCTTCTAGTTTTCTCCACAACGAAGTTACAGGACGTCAAAAATGACCCGAAGGGCTTCGAGAAAAGGATGGTACGGCCGTGCCCTTTTCACTTCTTTGCTCGACTTGACGGGAGCACCTCCGTGCCCCCAGATAAACACTTAAATGTATACTTTTATTTTATAATGTATTTTTTCCAATGCATAAAAAGAATCGTCATAATTATTTCAAAATGTAGGTAGATATAATTTTGTCATGACATCACGGCGACCAAACTGGTACCTATTATTTAACAGGTTTTCAACAAGGATATTCGATACCGGATCAAAATGTCAAAGTCAAATAAAAAGATGCATTTTAGAAAGATTTTTAACAAATTCAAAACTAAATGAGCAGCTTCTCAATTCGACTGTAAATGTATTTATTTATGTATAGCCGACCTAAGTTCGTGACTTATAAATCGATTTTTATATATTTTATTTTATTTAATATACTTCAGAAATGGTCTCAGAAATTTTATGAAAACCTTTATTTTTATATCGACATAACGAGTAATTAAAGAGTTAAAAAAAATCGACCTGAAGTTAATAAAAAAGTCCGTTATAATTATTAATGGACCTACCAAAGCATGGGTAATCTAGAATTTCCTGCTACATGTTTTGTTTCTGTGATCAACGATTTTACAACAGTGCAAGACTTTATTAGTAAAATAATCACTATTCTCGTCTTATTAGATGAAAATATTGATTTGTTGAAATCGATTAATAATACCGCTAATAGGAGTTATGGGTATTATTATGGGTCACCTGATTCGTAAAACAATGCCTTAGCCTACAGTGTAATCAAATGTTAATGCCTCCCGATGGGCGACATATAGAATCAATAGTACCAATATTGAGTAATGAATGGCTCACGGAACAATACAACTATATTTTATTCTTTGTGTAACGTAGTATGATAATAAAAAGTAGTTTTAAAGGTCTGACATTATTTAAAAAGTTCAGTCACAGACTCACAATTGTTATGTGTATTTATTAGCTTCAAATTCGTACCTGTTTGTTCATAATTGCCGCTGCTTAAGGGTCAAGTTAGCAAATACACTAATAATCAGAAATATCTCTTACTAGTGGACGCCCGCGACTTCGTCCGCGTGGAAGTCGGTATCCCGTGGGAGTGAGAAGTTTTCCCAGTAAAAAGTACCCTATGTGTTATTCTGATGTATAACCTATATTGCTGTAAAGTTTTATCCAAATCCGTCCAGTAGTTTTTTCGTGAAAGAGTAACAAACATCCATACATCCATACTTACAAACTTTCGCCTTTATAATATTAACTAGTGGACGCCCGCGACTTCGTCCGCGTGGAAGTCGGTATCCCGTGGGAGTGAGAAGTTTTCCCAGTAAAAAGTACCCTATGTGTTATTCTGATGTATAACCTATATTGCTGTAAAGTTTTATCCAAATCCGTCCAGTAGTTTTTTCGTGAAAGAGTAACAAACATCCATACATCCATACTTACAAACTTTCGCCTTTATAATATTAATAGGATAGGATTCTATTGAAGTGAGTGAAATTAATTTTCGTAGTATAGAAGTCACTAATAGTCTCAATTTTTGACATGTAATTCGAACTACTACGAATCGTATAAATAATGTGCCTGCTAGATGTCTATGTTAGTAGGCACACTTAGATCTTACAATATCTCTTAATTTACAATGTCACTAATATATGTTATGTATTACTAATTGTCACAATTTATTGTCATACATAAGACCCGCAAACTCGTTGGCGTGGTTACTAATGCTGATTTTTCAAGAGAGCTAAGAATCTACTCTAAAAACGATATAAGCGCAATAAGTGTAATAAGTAAGTACCGAAGATCATATATGATTAATAAAAGAAAAGTAATTGTTTATCATCCCTAATATATGTTTGTACTCTTTGGTAGCATCCCTACCAACACTTGTGTTTGAAAACGCACTGTAAATGCACCTTAAACCAGGGCTCTACAACCACCCCGCCCGCCCTGGACAGGGCAGGTTCATGTGGAAAGCCTACCACCAAAATAATGTGTCGTCTTACTCCTTAAATCTCTTAATTGCCTTTAAGGACATTTATACACAGTTTATTACTCCGGTAAGTATAACTCGTACGAGTTAACATGACACCTAAGGACTCGAACGAAAAGTCTATGATGTAGGTTCTCTGTGCATCAGAGACAGTATCCTGCCTCCGTATGCATCATAAGTTATCGAAAAATGCATTTACATCCAAAAAATAGAGGGAATATAGTTTTCGTAGAAATAGAATAGGCCTTTAGGTGTCATGTAAATTAAACCAGGTATGTAGGTACCATAAAAATATTGCATGTTAATATCAGAAGTATGCAACGTAACTTTGAAAATTTTTTGGTCACGTTTACTAGATTACACATCCCATTCGATATAATAGTCATGAGTGAGTGCTGGATAAGTCAAACTTCTACCATAAAACAGATAAAGGGATACCATTCCTATAGTACAGAAAAATTTATAAATAAGGCAGGAGGCGTCACTATCTATGTAAATGATAAGTGGTCAGCAAACGTAATGGAACCCAGTGTGGACGAAGCAAACTGCTTGATTGTGCAGGTACCTAACGTTGTTACAGTGGTTGGTATCTACCGATCTCCCTCTTTTACTGACACTTCTGTTTTTACCACTGCACTCGATAGTATACTAAATTCTTTAACTAGCAGCCCATGTCTTGTGATTGTGGGAGATATCAATATAGATATCTTGGACTCTGCCACAGACGTCAATAAATCGTCTACCTACCTCACCTTGCTTGCGGAACATGGCTTGATTCCAGCTATTAACGTTCCCACTCATAATAAGACGTGCATTGATCATATAATTGTCCCAGCAAAAGCAATAGCAGAGACGGTAGTGACACCAATGGACCTAACAGACCATGACATCGTGATGACGGGAATAGCATGCAGAAATAAGCCATCAATTGACAGAACAAGATTAAAGTTTGACTACAAGGGTCTTCAGTCCGAAATCGAAAGCATTGATTGGCAAACAGTTATGACTAGTGGATCTTTGGAGGAAAATGTGGCCTCTTTC